TTAGCAAGGCTGTACTGAGCAAGTTTCTATATACAGGGAGACTGCAGTAGTAGTATCTGAAACCAGCCTCTGCCGACTTTTTCATAATCAGTTCTGTGTGTTGTGGCATGCTGGTAACGTGGGTGTCAATAAAGAGGGATTACCATCATTTGTATTTTAAATTATAGTCATTTATGAAGAGTCATATAAAGGCTGTTATTTGGGGCATTATTGCTGTCACTAAGGTGCACAATGAATAAGCTTGCAGCTATAAACTCTACTGCTGTAAACATATCCACAGAAGGGCTAGCTTTGAGCATTAAATATTTTCAGTTTTTTTTTATTACTATGCAAGTGTAAAAATGTTTTTGTAAGCATTACTTGCGTACATAGATCATGCTTGTGTATTACTTTGAAAGTGTGCCAATATTCGCTGCTACTGAATAAGAACAAAGAAGAAAACGTCAATTGCTCTTTCAGATTTCAGAAAGAACAATGCAGTTTCTCCAAAGGCTGTCTTGCTGGTTCTGCCTTAACCACTCCGAGCCAGACAAAGTACATCATATAAGTTTAATCTTTTAACTGGGCCTTGCCCATTACCTTTGCTGCATGGAAATAATTAAAAAAAAAAACTTGGTGTATATGAATGCCATTTTTACATTGATGGAATGAACTATTCTGTCTCTCAACTGCCTTAAATGGAGAGGCCGTGGGAATTCTTTTCTGCTGCTAAGATTTGATTAATTTTGTGAGCAGGAAACACGTTTGCATATGCTGTCTGAAGCAAAGTAAAAGTACAGCCACACAAACAACTTTTCTGTAGCATTCTGAACGGTACGCCTTTCAGGGTAGGTAGGCTGGAGAAATCATGTACTGGATTAAATCCAACAGAAATCGATGCAAGTTTGGGGCCTAAAAGACCACTTAGCTGAGGTGTTATTTTGAAGAAAGCAGTTTTTACCAAGCATCTCTTAAGATTAGTTTCAGAGTTTTAAAAATAGAGCTTTGTCGTTAAGCTATACAAATCAGCAGATTTGTTTTTATATAAAGTATCTGTGTTTCATTGTTTCATATAGCTGTGAGCAAATCTTAAGGTCAGAACTGCAAATCTCTACATGCAAAACAACGCAGATATATATGTATTATAATATAAATAATGTACATGTTTATATGTACATATATTTGTATTCAAGTATATATATATTAATAGCTATCGATATAAAATTCTACAAGGCAATTTAAGGATTTCAAGCGAAAATTCCATAACAGGTGTATTTATTTTTCTAAACTTTTCCTCTTTGGTTTTTCCCTTCAGCTATTCCACAGCTTTATACCCTATAATATATCATGCCATCACTTATAGTTCAGCTTTACTGTAAGTCAGCATTTTATGCTTTAGTTTTTGCCCTGTAGATGAACTGAATACCGAAGAGGGTATTGCTGTCACTGCCTGCTGCGCTCTGTGGCAGCACTCACACGCCTGCTCATGACAAAATTATAACCTGGCAAACCAGCATTTGTTCATGCCTGTACTCCACTTGGGGAACTAATTTTATTATTGTTGGACAGAACTTAATGCAACCTGAGGCTGCTTTCATTTGCTCTCTTGACTCATGTAATCTGTTATTTTGCGGTACCTGTAAATTTGTCAACATTAAGACATTGTTTTCCACCTCTTACATTTGATCTCATCTACGTGTCTGTCGGTCTTTGTATAGCTAGGGTCTTCAACCATATACTTGTCTCTGGCCACTTGCATGTATTTTGCACTTTGTCTTTGCTAAATTGCGCTACAGAGATATGCAGTTTATATGGAAGAGAAAGATGGAGCATGCAATCCCCAAATTGCTGTGCCTAAATGGCCCAATTATGCATGCAGGAAGCAAAAAATGTACGGTCCGCACTCTTCAAATAGTGTCACCCTTCATGGTGAGTGTTAAACTTTTTGTCTGTAAGAAGGCTGTTAAGGGTTGTGGTTCAGAATGTTTTTTGCCATGCTTATTTTTTCTTTGCTTTGTATTCTGAGGAAATACAAAGTCAAGCAAGGACTGCTGTAGCCATACTGTACCTTTCGCCTCATGTCGGAAACGTAGCTTCCTTGACTTTTGAGACTGGAAGTCAGATGAGTCCGTTCTGCTTGGGTCTCTATGTGTGTTGCAGAGCTGCTGTGCTAGAATCAGAGACGAGTAGTTGGGGGTAGGCTCAGGCGATTTCAACAGACACCTTTTTGCGAATTTTAGTGTTTGCATTCAATCCTCAATCCTGGAGGCAAGAATCAAGTGAAGTTTGCTCGCTATATACCAAAAAAAAAGATTCAAAATGTGTACAATTAAAGATGATTTTTGGACCTTTCAGGTTTGCATTCTGATTATATAATCAAATATTTTTTTTATCTAATTTATAAAGTTTTCTTATTTCCTAGTAGTATGTACAGAGACTAACACATGCAACGTTTAGAATTGTATTGTACTGCATGATCACTTGTCTTTTTAGTCTTATTTTTTGTGTTATACGATCTAGGTGAATTTAGTATTGCAAATAATATAAAATAGTATTGCTCTATTATTTTATCAAAATTGCTCTTTGAATGTAGATGCTTTGTGTGTTTTAAAATAACAATAAACAAGTTTCTAATGTTTGGATTAAATGCAAAATAAATTTGAACTGCTTTATGTGGACTTTAAAATCTCCTTTTTAAGGACAGTTAACTATTTGCTTATGATAACATATTTTAAGCCCTTAGCTTTAAGGCCCAGATGTTGGCTTGTTTGAAATCAGTATGACTATTATTAAAATGTAATGTAAATAATTACTTCAATGAAGCAAATCAATGCAATGGGCAGCAATCTTCTTTTTAAGCTCTCATTGATGATTAATTATAATAATGATTTGTTAGTATTAAACGTCTTTGTATATATATGTATACGGTAGTTAACACTTATTAATTTAATATTGATATATGCACTAGCTAATTTCCTTCTTCAATATTTTGATTTAGTCTTTTCAATATTTAAAAAAAATATTTTTTGTCTATTTATATTGAATCGATGAATATAAATTTATTTGAAGCAAACTTTTTTTAAAATTTTTGAAATGCATTTTAGTGTTTCTCAAGTGTACGTAGAAATGTAATTAGAAATGCAGAGATCTCTCCTATGCCTGTTACTCTGCAAGGGGCTGAGTTCCTGTTTTTAAGCCTTTTATCTTCCTTAAAATTTATATTGACAGATACACGCATGGACTGTAACATTTCTTTTGTGACACTGTTGATACGCAATATGAATGAAAGCTGACAGCAAATTTGTTTATTACATACTTTCAAACAATTGACTTTGTGGTTAGTAAAGAGGTATTTCTAGCAAACCTGTGAGTCAGTGTGTTGTTTATTGAAGATTTTAGGTCCGTTATTTCAAATTTAGGCACCAGTTTCTAAAGAAACGTAGTCCCAGTGACACTGTATTGATTTGTGTTGATAAGGTATATTTTAAATATTATACATACAACTAAATTACTCTCATTTTTACTCAAAAAATATTTCCCTCCTTAGGTACCTTTCTTTTTCCTTATGAAAATAAGATAATGATTCTAGTTCCAAATTGCAAACAAGGAAACCGAAGCCTAAATTATCCTCTTAGTTATACAACAACCCTTAGCTTTATTTGTATTTTGAATAAAAATAATTAAAAAAATGTTCCTGGTCAAAGTAAAATAGGGAAGGTAGAAGATTACAGGTAAAGAAACACTTCCCAGAATTTACTCTTTATTACTTTTATTATTTTTGTAACATTCAATGCAGGTCGTTTCGTAAAAACCTGAAAGCTGTCTTTTGGGCTTATTCAAGAGCCGTCTGCAAAGTTAACTAATTAGTGCGAATGACAGGTGTGAATTGAAGGCAGTAACTCTCAGAATTAATTTACATTCTTTTGTAAATTTCGCTCCAAGAAAAACATGCCTGCGCTTATTCTTTGTGCTCGAGAATGAAGAGGCCAAGGCTTTGAAAGACTAAAAAGTTAGGCCAATTATTTTTGAATAACCATATGCACTGTTTGTCTATGTGTGTTTAGATCATAAAAAGATAAAAATAGATAAAATGCACAACAGGACCCTAGCTGGTCTCACTTCTTACCCTGTTCATTGCTCCTAGTCAGTTGCTGGTTGGACACATTCCTGATCGTCCTACCCATGTCTGCGTCTGCTGCCAAGCTGCTAAGATGTAACCTAAATGAAATACTTACTACACTGCTGGCCTAGCTAACAAAAAAAAAAAACCACCTAAAACAAAATGCTTTTTAAGAATGAGCAACCATACATGCAAAATTGAAAACAAAATCTTTCAATCCCCATATTATTGCTATTTATAAAAAATCCAGATAAACTGTTTCGATTATCAGACCTTTTCAATCTTTGTTTTTTTACACATTTATGTTTGTGGATGTGTTTGTGTGTGGATTGTGATGTTTTAGATGTTTAATTTTAGCAATATGCCTCTTGTTTTGTGCCAGAAAGCTTTTTTTTTTCTTTTGCCATTTAAATATATTTAATGGCGAAAACAGTCAAAATTATTTGGAAGATTTTTTTTAATTTCCCATTTGTGTCCTGGTGCTTTTCAAGTTGTGTTTTCTGCAAGCTCAGATATACTTCCCCTCATTTATATTTAATTTTTGACTGCTCGAACTTGATATGTTTTTAGATGTTTTTTTTCCTTCTGATGAGTCCTTTGCATCCACTGGGATGGTTTGAAATATCGTGTTTGTGTGCCAGATTATTCTATTTTCAGTGTGTAAGCAGGCAGTGGTGTACTGAAACATTTATCTATTCAAATATCTGTTTTGCACCTGTTCCTAAAACGTTGCTCCTAAAAATACCCATGCCTTCCAAATTGAATATATTCAGGTTCTGTTGAAGAGGTTTCTGTAATGCTGCTAGTCTCAATATTTTTTTGTGTGCATTTGACTGCAGGAAAAGTGTTGTGTGTGTGCGATCGATAACACATCTGTCCCGTTCCTTCCCTTCTCTTCCAGGATGAATTCCATCCGTTCATAGAAGCTCTCTTGCCTCATGTCCGAGCGTTCGCCTACACCTGGTTCAACCTGCAGGCCCGCAAGCGCAAATACTTTAAAAAGCACGAGAAGCGAATGTCAAAGGAAGAGGAGAGGGCGGTCAAGGATGAACTTCTCAGCGAGAAGCCCGAAGTGAAGCAGAAATGGGCATCCCGGCTCCTGGCAAAACTGCGGAAGGACATCCGCCCAGAGTTTCGGGAGGATTTTGTTCTCACTGTCACGGGGAAGAAACCCCCTTGTTGTGTGCTCTCCAACCCCGACCAGAAAGGCAAAATGCGGAGAATTGACTGTTTACGTCAGGCAGACAAGGTGTGGAGGTTGGACCTGGTAATGGTGATTTTATTCAAAGGTATTCCCCTTGAAAGTACTGATGGTGAGCGGCTTGTAAAGTCCCCACAATGTTCCAATCCTGGGCTGTGTGTACAACCCCACCACATAGGAGTTTCAGTAAAGGAACTCGACTTATATTTGGCGTACTTTGTCCATGCAGTGGGTAAGTGCCCCCCTTTTTCAGATTTATTACATTTTCATCGCACAAGTTCATATTTCATTTTCAATTGTCCAGCAGTCTTTGCAGCCCCACGTTTAGTAACAAGCCTTTTTTGTTTTGCACTCCAAAATGCTTACATTTTATTTTCTGTGAGACGTCGAGATAAGCAACATATTTTGAGGCCAAAAAATCCCAGTGCAGACTCCTGACCTGGATTAGTACTTAAAACACTGTGAAGTACCCTTGCAGATTTATTTTCTCAAAAACCAGTGCTAGTCAGTGAAGAGACAGATTTAGAGAACCTTCACATTAGAGCAAACATTTTCCCCAAGTAAAACAGGATTGTAGTTTTTCACATTTGCAGCAGTGCACACACATGCATTTATATATTTTGAAAAATTGATTTACTGCAAGATTGAATAGTAATACTACTATGAAAATATGCATTTTGAATATGCAAAATACACCACAATTAATTCCCAGGTTTTCAGAATCACCAACATAAAAAGGCCGAAAAAATGACATAAAAACAGAAACTGGAGTTAAAATAATCAGTATTTTGACTTTGGTACCAGTTTTGTTAGGGGGATTTTCCCCTCTGTTTTAGTTCAATGATGAAAAAATGAAGGACATTTATTATGCTGTTTCACACACTTCCTAGCCTGGACAGAGTTTGTACAAAATCGCACTGGAAAGCAGCACCACAATACTTCTTGTCATTGTTCTTTTGGAAAAGTCGATTATTTCCATTCTGACCACTCGTAAATGTTCCAGGCCACTTTGAAAAAAGGAAGCAATTCAATTGTCTTTTTTTTTACTTGCAGAGATACATGTTCTTTTTTTTTCCGTCGTATTATTTGAAAGGTTGTTTGTCAGCGTGCTCTGTGAGAGATGGCATTACATTCCCTGCCCAACCAAGGCATTAAACGCGTTTGGCACCACAAGGAAAGTGATGGCGAGAGGCATTGACTCTGGAAAACGCCAAAGTGAAAATGGTGCCAAGCCTTTGTGGTTTTTGTTTCGCTAAATAAAATCTCACACCCTGAAAATGGGACAACAGTCTGTAAATGACGAGGGGAGGTCGTACTTTTTAATGTGTTTTCAGAGGACAACAAAGGTGCTGAAATCTCATAGACTGTATAGCGTACAACCCCAAAAGAGTTTTTATTTATGCAGTTAATTGACAATAAACAAGGGTAGTTCTTCTTTCTGTATTAATTTGTAGATGCTATTCCTTTAGCCCCTGTACTGTGCTGTAGCTTGTTTACGGGCTGGAAAAGGAATATTCTGTTTTGTCCAAGACACAGAACTATCTAGTACTGCTGTGTCAGACTCTCTGCAGTACTCAGAAACACCGTCTTCTGTATGGACATGTGAGAAAAATGCAGCTCCACATAAATAGTTGTTGTGCATATTAAAAGTAATAATACTGCAAAAACACGCTGCTTTCTAAATGTAGTATGCATGTCTCTATTTTCTGAGCTGCATCTGTGTGTATCAGTGTGTGTGCTGTTGTTCGAATATTCTTCGGAGAATTTGGAATTCGGAAATTCGGAAAATATTTCTTCCGTACATCTTTCACCAAAAAAGGTTAAGTTACTGAAATGCACTTCAGTATTACCGAAAATAAGGCAGGCTTTTATTTTTCCTAGATTAGAATTACAAGTACATTTGATAAAAAATCTGAATTTTATCTCTCTGCGCTTATCTATCTATAAGTGCCACTTAGGCATATAAAATGGAGAAAAAAAAGAATTCAGGTACTTGAAACCATGCAGTCTTTTAACAGCTAATAAATCATTCAGGGGGAAAGGGGTTTTGAATGTGCCAATATTTTTCAATAGTTCTGTTTTCATGACATTTTCTGTTCTCACAGTTTCTGCAGTTTTTCAGCAGAAAGTAAGGTGCCGTCATGTTATTTCTAGATTTGTGTTATGTGTATACAGTATATGCGGAAACACATAAAATATAACAGAAAAGTGTGGAGAGCGAGAGTTCAGGGGACTCGTGATTTGGAGGGAACTGCAGGCAGCTCTCCTGCACTGACTTTGAAACAAGTGCTAGCATTCAGTCAAATGGACGAGAAAGCCTTCTATTACCCTTGTAAAGCTGAAGGCCTTAATTACAATAATTTCCTCTCGGAGTCTAATTTGTTTCTTGTAGAACAAGCAAGATGTAAAATCCTCTTATTGTGCGAACTTGCCTTGCCTGTATAGGAGCGTGTGAGGAGTGGTGTGAGCGCTTCAGCTGGCGCAGTGGGTTCATTTCGGAAAAGGGCCCCTCATGGTGTCAGTGTTCATGTGACTTGAAAAGGCCAAATCCATTTCAGAAAAAAAGGCCAGACAATGATGTTCAGGTTGTGTTTAGGGCTCGATGGCATTGCAGTTAGCTTTGGGAAATTACAAACTGTACGTGGACTTTTTTCTCCGTTTTTGCCGACCGTATGTGGAATTATATCACAGTTTTTGTGTGTAAGCAAACAATATTTTGGGTCAGAATGCAAAATGGGAATCACACACACATGCAAATAGGTAGTTTACTGTATTTTTATGATTTTGCGCAATAAAAGGATTTGTAACAGATGAGTGTAGTTGTTTAAGCCCGGGCTGAATTTATAAATGTAGTTTTTTAATCTAAAAAAACCCCAGCACATACTAATACAACTCACTTTGTGAGGCACACAATTTACAACCACAAAGTCTCTAATTACTGTGTCCAAACAGGATTTTGTGCATGCCAACCCAACTGTTCATTGAGGTACTTGGTCCATGTTGTGGTGAATTCCTTTTTTTTCTTCCCTTCAAAGCAATAGTAACACATTGAAGAAGAGAAGAGTACAGTAGATTAAAGCCGATAAAACAACTATATTCATAATGTAGACTACACAGTCGCTATTGATGAAAAAGGATTATTTCTGATCCATATTGAATCTGGCTCTATTGTACACACAATGTATCGTGTGTCTTGGCTTTGTCCAGTTTCCTGTCTTTCAAATTGCCGTAGTATCCCAGAATCCTTATTTTCTCCATCTGAAATACAGCCAGGCCTGCAGCCATTGGTCCCACAGATACTGCAGCAATGGCTTCTTAAGTTGGACATGCGCGAAAAAATAAACAACAACAATCTCCGAAAAAACAGCCCCCCCACCTCCCCGCCACCACCCTACTGCCACACTGGTGGGGAAAACAGCGCTGTGTTCTGAAGGGCTGTGATGAAATTGGGAATACGCTGCAGCATTTGAAAGAATCTCTCAGCAAGCACCGCTCACGACAAGCTTCGCAAAAACACATCTTTCTAAAGTTATTATTGCAGGGCTTAAACAGCAACTTTTTCTTTTCTTTCTTTCCCTGTTTTTCAAAAGAAGCTGACTGGCAGGTCTGGCACTTTTCGGTGCTGTCTTTCCCCTCCCAGCCGTTTGTCCTTCCCGCCTGCCGTCCGAATTCCAAGCAGTTCCAGAGCCTCCTCCGGCACTGGGCAGGGAGGGAGCTGCTGCCTCCCGGCTCTTCTGATATCAAATTCTTTGCAGTGCCAGGATTGCATTCACAGACCCGTTCCGTCATTCTTTCAGATCTTTCCGAGCGTTGTCTTTTGCGGGGACCCGTCGGAAATTTGTTTTTTTGGCTCTCGTGTGCGGGCGGCCCTTCGTAATGGCGCACTCCAAGGCCGGTTCTCAATTCCACACTTTCTTTTAAAAACAAAAAAAGCCTCGTCGGGCCCTCTTGTAAAGCCTCATCTCTGTTAACCTTGTCAGCGGTTCGTGTCCTGAGAGGCTGTGTGGATCTGTTGTGGTATACAGTAGCTTACCCGTGCAAGCTCTCACAATGCTCAGGCCTACTAACGAAGTAAAAGAGATTCATCCAGCATCAAATAGTTGTAGAAAATACTTAGGTTTAATGATCCGCAGACTTTTCAAACCTTTTTGGGTCATTTTTCTGGAGTGCTGTTTATTTAATGAATGGGTGTTGTGCTACACTTTCATCTCCAACTTACGGTTTTCAACATTGCAGCGTTTGATGTTTTAGAAAGAAATGGTGTCCTTTTTGTAAACTGGGGTCCTAGTTAGCCTGGGCATCTAAAACAAACAAAGTAGTGGCTGGAAAAGTGATTATCTGCCCCATTCCTCTGGCAGAGAAAGAGAAAGAAGAGAACAGATAACCTTTTTGTTTGCATTGACTTGCTGTGCCATTCAGCCTTCCTGCGTTTGCATCAAGTGTCAAGTTAAGAATGATATTGTGCAGGAGAGGAAAAGTAATCCCTCCTCACCTCCCCTGGAGCAAAACTGCAGCCCGCACTAATTTACGGCCTCATTCTTAAACAGGCGACCGGTGTCAAAATCACCAGAGCACCAGGCACGTGCAAAAGGTCAAGACTTAAGTTGTTGAGGTTGCGACCTTAGCTACTAGGCATTTGACCTCTTAGATAAACATTGATCTTTTCTCATTAGCGGGCATTCAAGCGAGGGCTTTCTTTGGCTTCTACGCCTCTCTGTGACCTCCTGCTAATGCAAACACGTTGTGAGGGAAAGCAGACTGGGACTTGAATAAGTTAAAGTGGCTGGCAGGCTCAGGAAAGGTTAGGACAGTGTGGCCACCTTGTCTCGCCTTCCCTGCCGATAACGATGCAGGTACACGCGTTGGCCGCTGTCAGCATCGTTGATAATCAATTACTATAGAATAAACGACTGGAACTCCAGGTACAAAATGAGTGACATTGTCTGGGCATGGAAGTAAATGCCCAGGTCTGTAATTGTTTGGGGGAGTCTTCTGGAAAGTTTATGAAAAGAAAAGAAATAGTTACTTTAGTAATATGGATATTTACTTTAAGCCAATGTCGTGCCTTTGGCCAGAGCCTGGATCTCCTGTATATCAGCTAAGGCCGTTCTGGAAGTTTTGTGGGATGGAATGATTATTTAAAAAATTCTGAAAAGTTTAGAAATTTAGGAAACTTTAAACAACATGTTTGTTTGATGAAATTGCAAACAGATTTGTGTCCTCTTGATCAGC